CCCCAACTTCCCTCTTCTCAGCACCAAACATCCCTCCCCCCACAGGAATCACTCCCAGATATCAGTGAGAGCACAGGATTTCGGGAGCCTCAGCAGAGACATCACTTATGTACAAAGCAACTCATCTGAGCACTGACCTCAACCTGCAACGGGGTCAAAGCCAGAGGAGTATCCATAGGGAGTTATGGATGTGCCTCCCTCCATCACCCCATGCTATCCTGACCATACTGTGCACAACAAATGACTGGAATTGAGGACAGACCACTGGAGCAGCAAGAGGGAGCTTGGGAAGAAGCTCACAGATCCACAAAGATCCTGCAGGAACACTGGGAAAACAGGGAGGTCTGGGGGTAACAGCCACTTCCAGACACTGCTGAGAGGGACACTCACTTGTGTGACCCTCCAGACCAGCCAGGAATAAATCTACTCAGTAAATAAGGATGGGAAACAGAAGCCAGGCCTGCACTATCCAAAGGGCTGAGGAACAGGAAAAGCAACGTGTGCTTGGGGGGTTTGATGAGAGCACTGAGAGTGCCCGTGAAGAGCTGCTCCCAGGGAAGGAAAGGATCTCCTCACAGCCCAAGGGGAGTCACCCAACCCTTAAAATGACAAAATCTTCCTGGGATCAAACTTCTCTGGCATCACCACAAATGAGAAGGACACAGGTGAAAGGAGTAGAGGCCAAGTCAAAGCCTTTCCAAAGGAAACAATGGCAAAGGTGTCCAATTTGAGTTCCTTTTCCATCAGGAACACAGTGAGTCCAGTCCCTCCAGGCCACAACTAAGGATGCCCAGGAGCTGTCAGGCACACACAGAGCTCAGCATCCAACAGACACTTCATCCAAGGCTGAAGTGTCTTCTCCCAGCAGAGCTGGGATTGTGAACATCTCCCCACAATAAACGAGGCTCGTGCTTCAGCAGAAGCCAAGCAAACTGGTGCCTGGAATTGAGCCTAAAATTACATTAAGAGCTATTAAAAATTAAGCTTTTGGAGCGGGTCTGGAAGCAGACTTGTTGTTCAGCCTCTCTTAATCCTGATGAGATCAAGAGAAGCATCACTGCAGCAGTTTACTGGGTTTGATCCTACAAGAACCTCATCTTGTTATCACAGACTCCCAACTAGTGGGAGCTCTGAGCTCTCCTGGAACATGGGAAGTAACGGGATTTGAAATTGCCTAAACCTTCAGAGCACCTGCAGTGTTATTTCTCTGTGTCCTGAACCCTCTCCTGAGCTGAACTCCAAAACTGGAGCTGCTGCTGCTGCTGCTCCAGCCCAGCCCAGGCAGCTGTTCCCTGCCACCCTTCACCCTCCCAAGCAGACCTAAGGGACAGCATAGCATCCACTTGCCTCAGCAGCTTCAAAGCCCTTAGATCACCAGGGAATTCTTGCAAAATGCCTGGAAACACGAGAAATAAATGCCTGGAAGCACAAGAAATCACGAGGCTTGGATGCCAGTCTTTCACTTTCTGTACCACACGAACCAGATGCAGCCAGATAAAAGTCACACTGTCAGTCCACTGCAAAGCTGGGCTGGAAGGAACCAGAGTTTCCATCAGCCAACACTTCTCAAGTACAGAATCATTCCAGTTCCAGCCAGGCACTGACTGCAGGGGACAAAGGGCTTGGTAAACAAAGCCAAAGGGATGGGGGGTGTGACCTGCAGCCCCCCTTTCCACGGGCAGAGGCCCTGGGATGTCTGAGAACCCCCCCAGTTTCAACTACTAGTGCAACATCCCAGCAAAAGGATGGAAAAGAAAAAATCCCTCAGTCCTCACTGTGCAGTCACACAAAGCACAAACAGCTACCGAGAAAGGATCATAAAATCCCCCTAAAGCAGCAGGAGCCTTCAGGAGCTCTGCAGGCATCAGGAAACAATTTTATTTTGCACTTCTGTTCTCCTTGGGAGCTGGAAGAGAAAATGTGGTTTCCTGGGATGCACTGAACACAGGAGAGAGGCACTGACCTCAGGGTTTGGATAATGAATGAGGCTACAGAGCAAAGGAACGAGTCTACAAAGACCAAGGGAGAAGGACCTGCAAGGCAACAATTACAACTTCTTTCATGGTGAGGCGCTGGCAGAGGTTGCCCAGGAAGCTGTGGCATCCCTGGAAGTGTCCAAGGCCAGGCTGGACAGGGCTTGGAGCAACGTGGGATAGTGGAGGGTGTCCCTGCCCATGGCAGGGGGTGGAATGAGATGGTCTTTAAGGTCCTCTCCAAGCCAACCCATTCCAGGATTCCACAATCTCAGATATCACCACACAAACACCAACAGGTAACAGCATCCCAGTGCTCTGGGCTTAGAAAATGGGTACAAACAACACCAGGGCAATTTTGCCTGTTTTTTCACTGGGGAGATGAGGGGGAGTTCACTGAGCAGAACAAACAGATGTTGCCTTGTTCCCTCTGAGACGAAGATTGTGTCGCACAACAGTTTGAACAAAAATCGATTTTCAAACGCTCTGGCATGAGGAGCTCAACTGGGGCAGTTGTGCCAGCAGGGAGGGACACCAAAGCTGGGACCCTGGGCAAAGGCAAGAGGAGCAGAAAGTGAAACCAACCTCCCTATTCCCACTCTCAAACCAGAGAAGTGAGAACAAGCACAAAACACAACCACCTGAAACCCGCCTCGGTGTTTACATCTCGTTTCTTTAAACATGCTGAGAGCTCTTTCCAGAAGCCACAAGGGTTTCTGGAGAATAAAATATCTGCTGCTAAGTGATTTTCCTTGGCAGGGCTCAGTGCATGACAAAGCAGGAATGGGAATGTCCCCTCTCCCAGCAGCACCTGCAGCAGAGCCCTGGGCAGGCCGAGACCACCAGGACCACGAGCAGTTCTGCTGCCTTGGCCCTTCCCTGCTGTTATTCCCAGGCTCTTCCAGGCATTTCAAAACCCAGGGGCTGGATCTCAGGGGAGGAAAGCAAATCCTGCCCCTGAGCTGCCATGGAAAGCACGGCACCAGAGGGATTCACAGCAGCAGGATTAGTCACCAGGTAACACCTCCCAGCAGCTGGATTGAACAATTTGGGGAAATTCCCTGCTCCCAGCACTCCTCTCTCCTCAGAAACATCACATTCAGCACCTTGGAGGAGCTGTTCCTCACTGCTTGGAAACATCTCTTTCTATTTTTTCCCTCCTGCAATTCATTTGAGCTGATTTAGGAGGAGCAGCACAACAGAAACAGTCCCTCTCTCTAGGAAGGACACTCCAAGTCACTGACTCCAAGGAAATATTTGAGGAGTCCTTCAGAAGTCTCCTTGCACATGACAATACTTGCCTGGAAATAACAGGGAACAGTGGCCTCTGAACTTCTTTTAGGAGCTAAAGCGAATCCCAGCTTGGCCCAGGGGGTTTGGCTGTGCTCCAGTTAAGCAGCACCAGCCCCCCCAGCCTGCTGAGGGAGGTCTTCCAACTCCCACTAAAGTTCTGGAATAGAAAACTCCCTGAAGATTTTCTGCTGCAAAGAAAATTCCAGCTGGGACAAAGGTACTTATGTCGAGGACAACGGTTTCGCCCTCTGCACAACCACAACCCAGGAGCCATCTGGTGCTCCCCTCACTCGGGTCAGGAAACCTGGGATCAGAGAGCTCCAGGGAACTATGAAAAAGGCAGAACCTCCAGATCTACATCACGGCTACCCACTCTCCCTTCTGTGTGTCACCCTCTGATCACATCAGCACAACAAACCTCCCTCCATCCTGCCTGCACAGCTCCTGCAGGTGTTTCACTGGTACTCAAACAGCATTAAAATAGCATTAAAATCGCATTTAAATTGCAGAAGAGTTTAGTCTAATGGTTTCCTGCTGCTCTGAACTGCATCCTTGGTGCAGCAACAGAGAAAACACTCCTGTGATGGTGCTGAGGGCCCAGGGCCTCTCCCAGCACAGGTGCATTAAACACCAAGGCAGCAAGAACCACATTTCCCTCCAGTTTTTGCTCTCTGTGACCCTGCAAATGTTATTTACAAAGTTTTCCCTGGCTGTTTATTCCTTTCCTCTTCGGGGAGGAGCAGGAACAGAGATGACAAGGGTGACAACAGAGAGTGACCACGAGCATCCAGCCAGGCTCAGGGTACAGGAAAACAGAGCCAGGCTGGCTTTCCATGGCTCGTCTGCTGTGGAAAAACAAACCTTTTCCTTCAGAGAAACACAACTTCATTCCTCGTTGAACTCCCACAGAGTCCACGCAGGGAGGGTATTTCCTGGGGGTGATTTAGGAGGTACCAAAGTCTTTCCTAAGGCAAGGTCTGGGACCCCAAACTCACTCCCAGGGGATGATTTAGAAGGTACTGAAGTCTTCCCAAAAGGAACCTGCAGGGCGTGTGACCCCGCCGCCCCCCCATTCCCTGGGGATGATTTAAAAGGTACCAAAATCTTTCCTAAGGGGAGCTCTGGAGCCCCAGATTCATTCCCTGGGATGATTTAGAAGGTACCAAAGACTTCCCAAAGGGAACCTGCAGGGTTTGTAACCGCCCCCGGCCACCTCATCCCCTGGGGATAATTTGGGAGGTACCAAAGCTATTCCTAAGGGAAGGTCTGGAACCCCAGCCTCATTCCCTGGGAATGATTTCAGAGGTACCAAAGCCTTTCCTTAAGGGAAGGTCTGGGAACCCCCTTCATTCCTTGGGGACGATTCGGGAGGCATCAAAGCCCCCCCGAGGGCAGGCTTGTAAACCCCCCCTCATTCCCTGGGGGTGGTTTCGGAGGTACCAAATGCCCCCCAAGGGAAGGTTTGTACCCGGGATACCCCGCACACACAGTTCACATCCCCATCTCCGCGCTCCCACACAGTGGACCGGGGCCGGCTGTCGATTCCCCGGGGGCGGGATCTGCTCCTTCGGGGGGGTCAAATAAACCCAACGAGGGGCAAATAAACGCCCCCTCCACCGCCCCCGCCACGCGGGGGTCGCGCAGCGGTCGCGACACAAGGCGGCGGGACGGGCCGCTCCCCCCTCACCCTCCGCCCCTCCCCACCCCCTCCCGTCCCCCCGGGCTGCCCCGCACCTTGTCCTGGGGGTCCCGGGCCCCGCCGGGGCCGCGCCCGGGCCGCTGCCGCACCTCGGCCATGCCGGACCCGCGCCCGCCGCCCGCCGCCCGCCGCCGACAGGGGGCGCCACCGCGCCGCGCACCGGCCAATGGGCGGCACGGGCTGGGCTGGGGGGCGGGCTTTGTGCTGCTCTGGCCACGCCCAGGTGTGGCGGGCTAATGATGGGCGCCATGTTGGGGAGGGAGCAGCTCNTGGATGTCTGACATCCTGGGAGCTCTCACATGGATGTCTGACATCCTGAGAGGTCTGACATAGATGTCTGACATCCTGGGAGCTCTGCCCTGCTGCCTGGGAGGAGAAGAGCAGAGGGAATATCAGGAACTAACAGGAAAAATCAGCCAGGGAGAGCTGTGGTAAGAGAATATGGAATAACTGCAGCTGGAGAAGCTCTGTGCCCTGCAGGAGCAGCAGTGGGAAGTGCTGGGATTGCTGGGAGGTGTCTGGGCTGTGTCTGGCTCAGCGGGGTGGAAGGTTTTAGGCTCCAGTGTCGTGCTGTGTTAGTTGGTACCTCAGAGTCACCATTGGGTCAGGTGTGATCAGGACCTCATTGTGAGGTCCAGCCTGGGGCTGAAGAGCTTTGAACCTAAACAACAACCAAAAAAAGGCAGAAAAACAGTCCATGGAGGGGTAAAGGAGAGACTATGGGAGAGAGAACAGTCCAGTGGCTGAGGAAGGAGACAAGTCATGATTTCTGGGGTAACTTTCTGCAAGTCTGAGTCTCTCCAGGCTTTTATTTTCAAGAGCAGGAACAGGAGAAAACAGATGAGGCATGAAAAAGCTGCTGTTTCTGTGACAAAATCCCATGTGTTAGACCCAGCTCCCCTGTCAGCCCTGGCATTGCAGGGCACTGTTGGCAGTCCTGGGCAGTCACAAACCCTTTGCAGCAGCACCGACTGTAATGAGCTTTAATCTGCCCCGGGGAGCATCAGTGCCTGGGAGAGCAGTGCCAGCTGATGGGATCTGTCTGCTCAGATGGAGCGCTGGAAAGAGCAGTGGGAATAGGCAGGAGGGTGTCACCAGGGCAGTGCCACAGCTGGGTTCATAGCCCAGCCCAGGATATATCAAGCTCAGGCTTAAATGAGTTATTTAGCATCCCTTCAGCTGCTTAAAGTGGTGATTTGTAGGCTGATGGGGGCAATTTGCATAAAATGTATAAAAATAGTGTCAATTCCTGAGTCCTCTCTATAGCCTAAATCTGGCACAGTGTCCTATATAATCTTAATGCTCTGATTCAGAGAGAGCTGAGCAGGGAGGAGAGCTGATTCCTGATGCTGCTCAGCTCTTTGCAGTGAAGATGTGAAATATCTGCCAGCCCTCACTGTGACTGGTGATTTCTTCCATCAGGGAAAATGTTTTCTTCGTCCTCCCATCAGGCTTAAACTGAGCAAGGAAGGCATGGCAGGAATGGGTCCTGCATTTCATGCTGAACCCTGAGAACGCCCCTTTATTGTGACAAACCTCTGGATTGCCTTTGTTGTGCTCTCTGGGAACAACCTGGCAGTGTTTGTGGGGCACTGTGTGTTTGGTGCTCAGCCTCTGCTGTTCCTCTGCTGGGGATGAACTGGGGACCCACTGCACTGACCCAGGGGGGCTTTGCTCCTGCTCCTGGAGACCCAAACTCTTTGCAGCACAAGGGTTGGTTTGGCCTTCACTGCAGGAGGTGCATCAGGGACCTGGGGATGTGCTTTACATGGATTTACCTGCATGTCTGTGTCCTGAACTTGGTGCAGGGAATCATGGCAGGGAACAGGCTATGGCAGGGATCACAATCGGGATATGGCAGGGATTGGGGCATGGCAGGGATTGGGGCATGGCAGGGATTGGGGCATGGCAGGGATTGGGGCATGGCAGGGATCGGGATATGGCAGGGATCAGGCTGTGGCAGGGATTGGGATATGGCAGGGATCACAATCAGGATATGGCAGGGATCAGGCTATGGCAGGGATCAGGCTGTGGCAAAAATCAGGCTGTGGCAGGGATCATCAGGCTGTGGCAGGGATTGGGCTATGGCAGGGATCACAATCAGGATATGACAGGGATTGGGCTATGGCAGGGATCAGGACTGCCAGTTCCAGCAGCTGTGGGATCAGCTCAGTTGTAGCATCACATTCCTCAGTCCCTTGAGCTTTACCTTCACCCCTTGTGTCCTTGGCAGGAGTGCAGGGCAGGAAGGCCCAAATGCTCTTTCCCTTCCTTTTGGTCTCTGAGCACTTTGCAAAACTTCTGGTCCTCTGGGCTGCACCCAGGAATGATTTGCCTGCTTTGCACTTGGCCCTTGGGGAGTAAAACCTGGGAATGCTTGGATCTGCCTCCTCCTTTCAGTGCTGGGCCTTTCACCAGGCTGGTGACCCGTGTGAGGTGCTGGGTCCTTGGACTGCAGGAGGAATCTGCCTGAGGCTTTTGGGTTTAGCCTGTACAGAGGGGACACTGATTTTGGCCAGGCTGCAGCTGTTTAGATTGCTCCCAGGGGAATTCTGCAGGGAATCCTTTTACTGGAGAAAGCATGGATTGCAATGGAAACGTGGATTGCAACTAAATAAGTGCAGTGATTTCCCAAAACCTGACTGTGAGATGCCAAACTCGTGGTCTCCAGGGAGTTTTATCATTTCCAGTCTCTGCCTGCTGCCATTTGCAGCTGCCTTATGGATTTGAGTTCTCAGCTAAATGGCACTAAATCTCTCCGAAGTCTGAGGGCAGAGTGGATTTCACGGGTCACTTGAAAAATAGCTGAAAAAAAGCCAAGTTGCATTTCACTGCCAGCTCTCCAGACCCACGTGGGGGCTGACAGCAAGTTTGGTTGAAAGCAAACCCAAACTCTTCCTTCCCAGCTGATGGGAATGGAAAGAAGGAGCATGGAAGGAGGTGAGGAGGAGCTGACACCAGGTGCTGCTGGTGTGGTGGCCAGAGCTCTGCTGTCCCTGGGAGTAATCCCTGACATCACTGTTGTATTTTTAGCTGCCTCCACCTGACGATGCCTCACTGTCCTTGTCTGATTTAAGAACCTGGCCTGCAGCCACTGACAGTTCCAGCTTGGGCAGTAATTATCTTTTCCTGCTTTAAATAAGGGAGCTGCTCCAGCCTTCCTGCTCCACTGAACTACAAATACCAGAAACCACAGATTACACTGGAACAGTCCCCTCACATGATTGTTTTGGGGGGGGGGGTCCAGTGGGGCAGCACTGCCTGGGACCCAAAGAGATGAAGTCCCTTTGTTTGCAGAGCTGGGACCCCAAAGGGATGGAGTCCCTTTGGTTACACAGCTGGGACCCCAAAGGGATGGAGTCCCTTTGGTTACACAGCTGGGACCCCAAAGGGATGGAGTCCCTTTGGTTACAGAGCTGGAACCCCAAAGGGATGGAGTCCCTTTG